CTGGGTAAAGTATATTACACAACAGTTGATAGGGATAGTGTGTCCAGGAAGGGGGGATAAATCTGACTGGTGTCTTCACTGGGTAAAGTATATTACACAACAGTTGATAGGGATAGTGTGTCCAGGAGGGGGGATAAATCTGACTGGTGTCTTCACTGGGTAAAGTATATTACACAACAGTTGATAGGGATAGTGTGTCCAGGAAGGGGGGATAAATCTGACTGGTGTCTTCACTTTGTAAAGTATATTACACAACAGTTGTTAGGGATAGTGTGCCCAGGAGGGGGGATAAATCTGACTGGTTGTTCGGAAATGTTGTCGTACCAAAAGGATGCGATTTGGGCTGCAACTGACGCATGATAAACTTCACTACATAATAAAAAAAAAGGAAATATGTATGTACGTTGCACGCTCCAGACGTCTGTATGAGTGTGCGTTAGCTCAGTATTCCAGTCAGAAGTTGAGTAGTGTTGTTCAGACTCGCGCATAGCAGTGAACTTGGGACTCGTGTTGTCGTCGTTTGCCCAGAGAAGTGATGCCTGTATGCAACAAAGATTTACTTCTTCCCATTCAGTGTTTCAAAACAAACGACTGCTGTTTAAACAATGCAATACCTATTGCGATATTGCGGAAATCTTTTAAAACTTCCTACGCACGCGCGTACGCACGCACGCACGCTCCAATGTTTACTTTATTCATTATTACTTGAAATGAAGCTTAACATGCGTCTGTTTCGCACCCTATTCGTATATCAACATCTTTAAACAACCAGTCATGATTTATCCTACACCTGGACACTCGGAATATCCCTAGCAAGGGTCATACACCAACTGAAAACAGTAACCGTGCTTCATATAAAGTTCTGAGCATGTTTGGGAGCAATTTTGAATGTAAGCAGCACACAGTGATTGTTTGGCTATCAGGTGTTCAAACAAAATACATTTTGTTTAACCATAAATAACGCATACGCAATGCTACGGCTTGCTGAAAATCAACGTGTATCCGCCGTGGGTTTGCTGCAAAACGAAGTTGCCAGACATTTTAATGTTCATCGAAACACAATATCAATTCTCTGGAGACAATTCTCTGGTTATCTACGGCAGGACAACACTCATGTCATGAAGAGAACCATATTCGGTTGGTGGCCACATTAACAGCTCGGGCAGTTCCTTGGTTGAGACCAATAAGTGGCAGAACCGCACGCAACCGGTTGAAAGAGCACAACATCCAACCCGACGTCCAGGGAAACGCCCAATTTTGTTTCCATGTCACCGTCAGATACGTCTAATTTGGTGTACACAGCATCTGAGATTCCGAGGACAAAACTGGGACAGCATACTATTCACAGATGAGTTAGCTTTGATGGTCGTGCAAGGGTCTTAGGCGTCCAGGAGAATGTTTCAACGACGCTTGCGATACTCAACGTCGCCACTTTTGGGGTGGAAGTGTAATGGTATGGGGTGGCATCCAAACTCGTGGGAGAACACAATTCATCACTGTTAATGGCAATTTGAATGGCGTATGCTACCGGTCCGTCATCCTTAGAGATCACGTTCTATCCTTTGTGCAAATGCAGGGATTTAAGGTCACGTTCCAGCGGGATAGTGCCCACCCACACGGTGCACGTGTTGTAACAGACTTTTTGAGGCAGCATAACATTGCTTTACTACCATGGCCGACTGCTTCCCTAGACCTATTCCACATAGGACACATCAAGGATCAGATGGGTCGATGCCTACGACAGGACCAGAACCAGCCGGTAACACAAGATCAATTGGGCAATTCTTAGGTAGACAATTGGAACATTCCCCCAAGGTTGTTTTCATCCATCTGGTGTCTTCCGTTCGCCGCCTCTGCCTCGCATGTGTCAACGCAAACGGTGGTCACACCAGATATTGACATTGTTAATTGAGTTGTTACATCACCTCTCTGTTAGCGCCTGTCGCTCTGCCCCATGTAACCAGGTATAGGTTTTGTCAACGAATCTGTTAAGATAACACATTGATGACACGAATAACCAAATATAATGTTGTTAGTTTCAAAAATATAACATTTACACCACTTGATATGAAGCGTAGTTACTCCATGCGCAGTTGTTAAGAGATCGTGTTAATGTCTGAACTTCTCCATACACAGTTGTATATATGTGTGTGGCAGAGTGATATTTTGTACATACAAGTTAGGTTTTAATTCTATTTTAGACATAGTTTTATACACATTCTATTTCAGATTTGAATTAAGTACATAGTTTATTTACTATGTCTTACTTTTGCCATATAATTGTATTTCAGATTAAACATTAATACCATAGCTTATCTGTTTCATTCAGTCTATTATTTATTCAACCTTGACTAACAATACCACTGCATGCTTTTCACCCACAGCACTTAGTATCCCACCCGCGCTTAAGACTACTCTATTGTTCTCTGTGGTCACTTACAACTGACCACAGGTATACCTTTGTTTTCTAGTGATCTGGGGCAGTTGCCAGATTACACTTGACGTATATACATCAGTCATTTTGTGTATATTTTGGATGGATCTTGTTTTCAGAATTTTATTCATGGATCCAATGGACGTGTTAATGTCATGGATTTGAAGGTTAGAAATAAGTTATGCTAGTTTTATTGCTAGTCAGGTTATGTATTGAATTCACAGTTCAGTGTATTCTGGCTATGATTATTATATATGATAAAGTATTGTAAAGCAGTTTCTTTAATTGATAAATAGCTAATTTACCTAGGCTATTTGCATCTTAACTTGAACATTAACTAAGTAAAACTAAACCCTAAATAAACTCATAGTAATTCTATACCAAATATCACATTAAGGTAATTGTGTTAATTGTGTATAAGAATGTATGCATATGTGTGAAAGTGCATTATTTGAGTAATTTGATAAATCCTTGTTTCTCATATGTATGTGTATGTGACACAGACGTATGTGTTAGACGTTGTGCTGACGTCTGAACTTCTGTATATCACAGGCACTTGTTAGAGGTCATTCTATTGTCTCCATCGCTATGTGGCCAAAATAATTCTGCGATGCCATGTTAAATTTTAACTCACTTTTCTCTGAATGTCTTACACAGACGTCCCTGTCAGTGGCCTTGCCATTCTCAGGTTATCTGTGTCGGAATCGTTTGTGTTCAAGATCTGTCACAGAATACATGTGATACAGATTTTGTTATTGTACTGCCTCCTATATCACTATAATGCATTTGGGTAAGTGTAAAGTCATCCATGTGTTGTCAGTTCAGTCAAACCTTTTCACAGTTTACCCTTGACACCCTGCTCTAATGGAATGACCATTTTGTTTGTGTTTTCGATGTTTAACGCCGCACTCGGCAATATTCCAACTGTATGACAGCGGTCTGTGAATATAGTAAACTGCGGTTATAACGAACTCAAAGGGACCACTAATTTTAGTTTGTTTTAACCGTAGTTCTTTATACACATATATACAGCATATACACCCGGGACCGGGCCAGGACTAAAAAAAATAAGTTAGTTATAACAGTTCGTTATAAGCGTGTTTATTATAGACGTAGTTGACTGTAATCGACAGGGAATTATTCCATTATCTGAGAGAAACCTTTCTGAGTCTGAAGAAACATTCAATACTCTTCCAGTATTTTAAAGAAGCTATCCTTGATATGACAGAAATTTCCATATTCACGAGAAACCAAGAGACAGTCAAACAATTCAGATACTCTGAAGCCAAAAACAACTGTGTAACTGTTTGTTTGTTGTTTAATGCCGCACTGAGCAATATTCCAGCAATATGATATCGGTCTGTAAATAATCCAGTGATTGACATCATGAGCATCTATCTTCACAACTGGTATACGATGACATTCATCAATCAAGTAAGAGACCATCTGATCCCGTAGGTCGCCTTTCACAACAAGCAAAGTCGCCTCTTATGACAAGCATGGGTTGCTGAAGACCATTTCTAACCTGGATCTTTATGGTTTGAATGCCTGTGTTATCATGGTTTGGCCCTGACTGTCTGTTTGAAAAAAAAAGGATAACAATAAAACCAGGTAGAATTTATCATTTGACCGACCATTCGATTGAGTGAGTAGGATTTAACGCTGCTTTGAACAGTATTCCAGTTATATCACAGCCTGTTAACTAGCTGTGCAGGTCTCAGACAATGACCATTTGAAATACTGGTTGATTGATGTTGTCTTAAACTATGCTGCATTAGGGATGTCATAAATCTATATTAAACAGTTGTTACGATTGTCGTAAGTCCATCTTAAGCTTCGTTGTGTTATGGGCATCATATGTTGTAAGTCCATCTAAAATGATGTTGTGTTATGGAGGTCATGTGTCGTAAGTCCATCTAAAACTATGTTGTGTTATGGGCATCATGTGTTGTAAGTCCATCTTAAGCTATGTTGTGTTATGGGCATCATGTGTTGTAAGTCCATCTTAAGCTATGTTGTGTTATGGAGGTCATGTGTCGTAAGTCCATCTAAAACTATGTTGTGTTATGGGCATCATGTGTCATAAGTCCATCTTAAGCTATGTTGTGTTATCGGCATCATGTGTCGTAAGTCCATCTTAAGCTATGTTGTGTTATGGAGGTCATGTGTCGTAAGTCCATCTAAAACTATGTTGTGTTACGGACATCATATGCCGTAAGTCCATCTTAAACAATTTTGTGCTATGGACATCATATGTCATAAGTCCATCTTAAACTATGTTGTTTTATGGATGTTGCTAATCTATCCTAAACAATGTACAATTGCAACTGTCGTAAGACCATATTAAACTGTGTCATGTTACGAAGTTCATAAGTCTATCATAAATTATGTAGCAATATCGATGTCATAAGTGTATCTTAAACTATAATATTGTTACAGATAGCCATCGTGCTACACATACTTTGTTGATGGGCCTGGTGTTTAGACTAAGATATTATGCATGTTCTCCTATGCATCAACAGGCCTCAAGTCAAATTAATTCTGAAGGAACAGGAAAAGACTTCCATGTAAGGCATCTGTTTGTTTATTGTGTCTCATTTTACATTATTGTGCTTAGAAAACCTAGTGAATGCTTACAGATGAATCTCTCACAACAATGTGATGTCCAATCAGATTAGCATGTTCACCAGGTAACAAGTTTAATATAACATTTCAAACATATTGATGCATGTAATAAACTCTTTTCACTGCAAGTGTTCACTGTAACAATTATTTTACAGTCATATATATCCCCAACCAGGTGTTAATAAAAAAATAATAATGCTGATTCACTCCAAGAGCAATGTTGTCACCAGGTGTTAAACTCAACGAGTACAATCTCTCCCACACCAATGTTGGCACCATGTGTTAAACTGAAAAATGAGTACAGTCTCTCCCACACCAATGTTGGCACCATGTGTTAAACTGAAAAATGAGTACAGTCTCTCCCACACCAATGTTGGCACCAGGTGTTAAACTGAAAAATGAGTACAGTCTCTACCACACCAATGTTGGGACCAGGTGTTAAACTAAACAATAAGTGCAGTCTCTCCCAAAACAATGTTGGCACCAGGTGTTAAACTAAACAACGAGTACAGTCTCTCACACACCAATGTTGGCACCAGGTGTTAAACTAAACAATGAGCACAGTCTCACCCACACCAATGTTGGCACCAGGTGTTTAAACAATGAGTACAGTCTCTCACACACCAATGTTGGCACCAGGTGTTAAACTAAACAATGAGTGCAGGTGGATGTCACATTCTTTCTGCACAGAACATTTCATAATGCAACAGAAATGTCTGAGTAATCAGTAATACATCATTTACAATATGGCTGCCATTATGGCCATGTTTAAAACCAGATCAAGACTGTGAAGACTTTTCATAGCTGTGATCATCAGTACTCCAGCTTCAGAGGCCCTGTAGTGTTAAGGGAGATGGATGAACGGATGACAGACATTCAGTCAGGTGAGCTGATAAAAAACATTCTGTTACACAACTTTACTATTATGTCCATATCATCCTTCTCAGTGTTACTGGTTAGAAAATCTGCAGACTTTGAACAATAGGAAGTGTGGGCCTAGATAAGTGTTGCAGTTTTTTCCTTGTCCTCAGTGAGGGCCCGTGCTGCATGAACAAACACTGCAAATGTCACACCCTGAAACACATGGAACATGGATTATATGTTGCTGGATAACACATGGAACATGGATTATATGTTGTTGATAACACATGGAACATGGATTATATGTTGTTGATAACACATGGAACATGGATTATTTACTGAACCAAATTAAAAACTTCACAATCCTAAAATTTTAACATTTTGACCAGTTATCACAGTAATGGCCACATATTGTCTTCAGATAACACCCGTTTTTGTGCAGGGGAATCGATTAAAATCATGTGCACAGCACTATAGTGGGAAAAGTTTTTTTTCACGTGCAACTGGTCACGTGGCCATAATACCGCATGTGTTTTCAGCCATACTTGTTAGCAGTCATTAACAAAAAAAGAAAAACACAAGAAAACAAAAGTCTTTACGGCCATTTGTCATGCCACGCCTTTCAAATGTGCAACGTGAACGTGCCATCGGCATGTTGCAGAAGGGAACGTCCGTAGCTGAAGTCGCAAGGACGATGGGTTGTAGTCGACGGACTGTTTATGATTTACAGACGCGTCTACAGCAAACGGGTACCACCGCTGATCGCCCTCGGCCAGGTCGACCACGTGTGACGTCACATGCAGAGGATCGTCAGATTGTCTTACGTCACCTCCGTAACCAATTTTTGACGGCTACATCAACCAGAAATGAACTGTTTAGGGGTAGACTGAGTGCACAAACTGTTCAAAACCGTCTGAGAACTGCTCACCCTCAAGCACGACGGCCATACTGCGGGCCGATTCTGACTCAATTACACAGACGTCAACGTCAATTGTGGGCACAGCGACACTTACGATGGACTCAGAGGAATTGGAATCAAGTTGTCTTCAGTGATGAATCCCGATTTAATCTTCGAGGCGCCGTCATGAACGTTACACCCAGTGTTGTGTACAGGAAGTTGACAGATTTCAAGGCGGAAGTGTCATGGTGTGGGGTGCTTTCTGTGGCAATGCACTTTCCAGGCTTCTTGTCATCCGTGGCAAACTCAATGCTGCTGCTTACCGCGAGCAGATACTGGCACCAGAACTTCTGCCTTTTATGGCAGCACATGGACCCGGTTTGATCTTCCAACACGACAATGCCAGACCCCACAAAGCAATTTTGACAAGGAATTTCCTTCAGAATGCGGGAGTCAACGTCATGGACTGGCCGTCAAGGTCTCCCGACCTCAATCCCATCGAACACGTCTGGGATGCTCTTGGCAGAAGTCTGCGCACTCTCCAGAACCAACCACAGAATTTGCAAGATCCTGGCACCATTTTGCAGCAACAATGGTGTCGTTTTCCCAATCATGTGTTCACAAGCATCACAAGGTCCATGCGGAGGCGTTGTGTGGCAGTAGTCAACGCACATGGTGGCCATACACGCTACTGAACTTGTGTGCCATCAGATTCTCGTGCTTTGGACTTATGATTTAAACTGTTTATGAAACTGAACAAATTATGTTTACCACCGTTAATTAAAATCCTTCTTTGGACATTAATGATTAAAAATTACCTTCTCTGATAAATTTGTCCGTTGCATATCATATATGGGATTACTTTTAAAAATGTGAAGTTTTTAATTTGACTCAGTATATGTTGTTGGATAACACATGGAACATGGATTATATGTTGGATAACACATGGAACAAGGATTATATGTTGGATAACACATGGAACATGGATTATATGTTGTTGGATAACACATGGAACATGGATTATATGTTGTTCATAACACATGGGACATGGATTATATGTTGTTGGATAACACATGGGACATGGATTATATGTTGTTGGATAACACATGAAACATAGTTTATATGTTGGATAACACATGGGACATGGATTATATGTTGTTGGATAACACATGGGACATGGATTATATGTTTTTGGATAACACATGGGACATGGATTATATGTTGGAAAACACACGGAACATGGATTATATGTTGTTGGATAACACATGGGACATGGATTATATGTTGTTTGATAACACATGGAACATGGATTATATGTTGGATAACACATGGAACATGGATTATATGTTGGATAACACACGGAACATGGATTATATGTTGTTGGATTACACACGGAACATGGATTATATGTTGTTGGATAACACATGGGACATGGATTATATGTTGTTGGATAACACACGGAACATGGATAATATGTTGTTGGATAACACACGGAACATGGATTATATGTTGTTGGATAACACACGGAACATGGATTATATGTTGTTGGATAACACACAGAACATGGATTATATGTTGTTGGATAACACATGGGACATGGATTATATGTTGTTGGATAACACATGGGACATAGATTATATGTTGTTGGATAACACACAACATGGATTATATGTTGTTGGATAACACATGGGACATGGATTATATGTTGTTGGATAACACATGGGACATGGATTATATGTTGTTGGATAACACACAACATGGATTATATGTTGTTGGATAACACACAACATGGATTATATGTTGTTGGATAACACATGGGACATGGATTATATGTTGTTGGATAACACATGGGACATGGATTATATGTTGTTGGATAACACACAACATGGATTATATGTTGTTGGATAACACACAACATGGATTATATGTTGTTGGATAACACATTGGACATGGATTATATGTTGTTGGATAACACACAACATGGATTATATGTTTTTGGATAACACATGGGACATGGATTATATGTTGTTGGATAACACATGGGACATGGATTATATGTTGTTGGATAACACATGGGACATGGATTATATGTTGTTGGATAACACATGGGACATGGATTATATGTTGTTGGATAACGCATGGGACATGGATTATATGTTGTTGGATAACACATGGGACATGGATTATATGTTGTTGGATAACACATGGGACATGGATTATATGTTGTTGGATAACACATGGGACATGGAGCCTCAACTGTCAGAGAAACAGAAAATATAAATAAAGTAATGAGTTAGTGAGTGAATGTTGTTTAATTAGCAGTCAACAATATTCAAGCTATATCTTGTCAGTTCCATATGAAATTACCGGGCATAAGATACTTCATACCACCTTCAAATCTTTCAACACCGTTTAACACTGCACCCAGAAATATTCCAGCTATCTGATAGCAGTCTGTCAATAATCGAGTCTGAACCAGACAATCCAGTGATTGATATCATGAGCATTGATCCAAGCAACTGAAATACGATGATCTGCATCAACCAAGTCAGCAAGCCTGACCATCCAATCCCCTCTGTCACCTCTTACGACAAGCATTGGTTGCTGAAGACCAATTCTAACCCGGATCCTCACGGGTCTTCATGATGTCTTCATACACAGATGAGTCTCATACCATTCCCAGTTCTCCAGTGTATCATATCTCCATTCTGTTCTGATCTATACCCAGGACCCATTCACAGCCATAGCTTAGTTCAGGAAGGAATTCACCAGCTGAAGCTCTCTTAAACCAACCTATCACAGAGTTTCCCTCAAGCATGGGCGTTGAAATCAACAACCAATCAAAATGCCTTTTTCAAAAGCAGGTTTATACACCTTCAAAGTAATGACCTTGTCCAAGCTTTGTGGAAGTCAATGCATGCGCAATAAAAATGACCCCTTAGTTTTAAATAAATATTTGGAGCGAAGCAACTTAAGAACAAAGATATTGTCAAATATAGAATACTCAGAACAAAACCCTGCTTGAGCTTCAGATACGTTATCATTTATTTCAAGCCAAATTCTAAGTCGTTTTTCAAAAATAAATGCAAATAGTTTTCCCATGATATTCAAAATAGATATGCCTCCGAAATTGTTTTGTTGACTGGCATTTCTTGATTTGTAAGACATTATCATTCCAATATTCCATGCATCAGGGTAAAATACCAGTTACCGATTTTATTGAAGATAAGCAACAAATACGTATTAGAAAATCTCCTGATATTTTGTAAAATTCTGGGACTACTCAAAAGAAGTAAAGAAAACCGAATTAGTTCTTTTGAGTACTATATTTGAATGAATCAGAAGATCGTTACAAAGACTTTTAGCTGCTGAAAAAAAACTTTCTGAGTCATAACACAAGGGGCCGGGAGATAGGCTGATGTATTGGAGACAGCAATGACTCGAGGCTACTGCTCGGTACATCATCGCTGGGTTCAGTCATGAAAGCTGTAATTTGATTGGACATACATTTTTATCACCTTGTCCTTTCAACTGGACTATGAAAACAAAGTGATTGTGGTGATGTGTCCTGAATATCATCATAAAAGAATGGAGATTTAAAACACTGGATAATAGAGGATGTACAAGCCTGGATGGAAATCAATATGAATGTGAACTAGATGAATAATACGATGACATATATAGATCATATTTGCTCTCACAGAGTTGCTCTCATTATTCAGCCGATGCAGACAGAATTTTTACTGTTTATCTAATTGTCCCTTACCACTCGGATCAAACGAAATATCAATTATTGGGTAAAATGGGCTAAATGGAATTATTCCTTGCAAAATAGAACAGAAATGGTGGTTATGGATGTGACATGTGACATTTAGGTCATACAATAAATGAAATAATATTTCCCAGACAACTAATCTCATATGTGGCTGGAATCTGAATAATACTTGTGTTTACTCAATTACTAGTTGTTAGGGAAGCACATATTGATGTTGAAAGGCTGGGAGAAGAAATCTCGTGGTTCCATGTTTATCAATACTCTGGATTTGTGATGACAAGTTTATTATTTCGTTAAGCTAGATGAAAGAAATGTGGTATTATGTTTTCAATGTAAGCCAGAATCAGAATCAGAGTCAGAATGGTGATATTAGAATCCAGATGTGAATACTGAGCATAAATAATTGAAAAAGATTAAATGGTACATTTTAAATGAACTATTGGCAATATGTTGAAATAATACCAGAAATCACTGAGCTAGCAGGCCAATACTGGATAGAACCTGTGACAATCTGGGTTAGAATAGGTCTTCAGCAACCAATGCTTGTCCTAAGAGGCGACTCACAAGATTAGCTTGTCAGACTTGCTGACTTGTTTGATGCATGTCATCATATCCCAATTGTGTAGATCAATGCTCATGACGTCAATCACTGGTTTGTCTGGTCCAGACTCAATTATTTACAGACCACTGTAATATGGCTGGAATAATGCTGAGTCCACCATTAAACAACAAAGTACATAGGCAGGCCAATACAGGTTTAAAGAGAACTAATATGGATTTACCGTATACGACTTATCAACATATTATCACTCATAGTCAGCTTGACACTGTGTCAGTACACTGTCGTTATATTTTGATGGAAAGTGTAAAATACCAACACAAATGAAAAAATCTGCTGTGACACATCTTCCCAATTCAAGAGCGTCCACTAGCCTTTTTAGCAAAGTCTTGTTTCCACCCTTGCCACATCAAGCCCACTTTCCTGTGCTAAATGTGATTGGACTATCACACATGTCAACAGTCCAATCAGAGAACGTTTCACAAAATCAACATCCACAACTGGTACAACTTCATATGAAAGTGTTTTACCACTGTCTGTCTTTGTTGACACAAACATGTCTTTTTCATCTTAAAAACCCCCAACGATTGCCTATGTTTTGCGTCAGGGATGAAATCGCGAATGGTTTTGTAATCTGATCGACTAAGTCGTCGCCTATGTTAGTCGTAATCTTTGTGAATCTACGAGATAAGAACAGTGATCTGATTGGATATCACATTTTCTTTACTACGCTGACCACAACTCGTGATCTATGGAAGGTGGCGCCAGGGTCGAGCCAAGAAAAGTGGCCTTGATGTGGCAAGGGTAGAAACTAGGCTTTGATATAGGCTAGTGGACACACTTACCTTGGGGAGACGGCTGTGACAAGAACCCATTGACATCCATTAAATGATGCCGTGTCCAGACAGCACAAGCTTGAGTCGGGGTTACAATTTGGCATGATGCACAAGGGAGATAATTCCATGGACATACAACTTCTTTATTACAATGAATGTGGCATTTCAGCGCAGACACTAACACCATTAGAAGCATCATCACAACGTTTTAATTGCTTGATAACGGTGTTTATATCTACACCGAAGCGTCACATTCATCGTAATAAAGAAGTTGTATATCCATCTCCCTTGTTCACTTGAGGCAAAGCCATGGGACAGTGTGGCCTACACAGAGCCTATATCAAGGCCAAGCAGAAATAAACAATTCAGTAATGTAATGTGAGGTTTCAAAGGTAGGTGACTGCAGTGCCTGTCACCTGGAAATACTTCAAGTTTGTATGTTCTGCTACTTTTGTTAAATGCTTCACTCTGCAATATTCCAGCCATATGACGGTGACCTGTAGACCAGAGTGAGTGGAGAGTATGGTTTTATGCCACTTTTAGCGATATTCCAGCCATATGACGGTGATCGGTAGACCAGACTGAGTGAGTGAGTATGGTTTTACGCCACTTTTAGCAATATTCTAGCAATATCACGGCGGGAGACACCAGAAATGGGCTTCACACATTGTAGACCAGACAATCCAGTGCCTGAAATCATGATCAACGATCCACACAATCTGCGTACAGTGACTCGGGGACAACCTAGTCAATGAGCCAATTTTACCTCATAATGTTCAGAATGGCACTCACATCACAGGTGGTTCCAAACTGGTTCCAAAGGTGGTTCCAGAGGGGTGGTCCAGGGGATCCGGATTCTCCCCCCACCCCCTTTTGAAAACCAAATGTAGCATGTTGTTGGGAGTAGAATTGAGTGAGAGAGGATTTTTGATATTTTGGACCCCTCCCTTTTAAAAGTGTTCGATCCACCCTTGGGTTCTAAAATACGGGTGATGTAATGTGATTTGATACCTCTGATTGTGAGATGGGCCCCCCAATACCCACTTGGCACTGTTTACCTGACTCTCAGCTGCCCGTAGGAATCCGGAGTTGGCTGTCATGGTAATAGCTTCCAGGCTGTCTCCAGTACCAAATATCACCTGACGGGAAGTAACACGTTGAGTGGTTAGTTATTGGGACATTTGTCATGAGCTTCTCACAATAACGTGATTCAGGGACTGATCATTTGATCATTTTGGAAGGGCCTGCGATTTTAAAAATAAATTGCTTAGGTTTTACCAAAAATTGCTTGAAGACAAGGCAAAAAAAGGCAAGACAATGGGGAAAGATTCCATAATCTCAGAGAAAATTAACCTTCCACAATCTCACAGAAACCTTTCTGAGTCTGGAGAAATATTCAATACTCTCAAAGAATCCTACCATTATCTCAAAGAAGTCATCTTTAATCTACGAGAGAACTTTCCATGTTCTCAAGAAACCAAGCATTAGACAGTCAAACCCTTTCAGATATGCTGAAGCCATAGACTCTGCAGTAAACGGCAACAACTGTGCAAGTAAACCGAAAGGGCAAGAAAACGGAATATAGCAATTTTGCACATGTTAATACTTCAGTTCATGCTTAATTACAAACACTTGTCCACAATCAAATCTGAAAAATGGAAATAGTGTTAAAAACAATTTTTAAGAAATACAGTCAAAATCGTCCCCGTAACAAAAGAAAAAAAATCTACCACTGGGGGCAAAACGGGTTCCCAATGATTGTCACTAGGGCTGGGACGAGTCCAAATTTACTACCCGGGTACCCAACCCCCTATTACCCGAAACTAACCGGGTACCCACAGTATAAGAGTTGTGAACACAATGTCTAATTGGGAATAGTTTAACTGTAGCCCTGGCAAAAACTGTTTAGATACATGTATGAAACCAGAGACCATATAATAGATATATGGTCTCTTATGAAATGATCAAATCATGCATATACTGAAGTTGACTGAAGCTTTATCTTTACCATGTTTACTCAAACATATACAAGCCAGAAGAAATGCGTGCATAGTCAGGAAGAAATGGGAACATAAGCGACTTGTAGTGTAACCACTGAGCTCCAGTGAGTTTTTGTCATTAAAAAGAATGTCACATGACTAGCCACGGGTCCAGGTAGTACTGTGGGTACCCGGGTCCTACTCAGGACCCACCCGACCCAAGCACCCGAGTTATCCGTCCCAGCCCTAAATGTCACCCTGCACACTTTCAACAATTGGGCAGGCACCCAGTCTGCCCACTTATGCCGAGAATCAGAAACAACATAGAAGATGCCTTCAGATAGACATTTATTGCATGGAATAGGACCGAGGGCAGCAGGTGGTTTATTGTACCCAAGCAGGATGATAATCAGAATAAGCTAGATATTCACATTGTTATTTTAATTATTCATAATGTCAAGGTCAAAGTTTTTTTCACAAACTAAACAATGTATGCAATATTGTTATTTTGTTGGATTTAACAGAAATAGCAACACCTTTAGATTTGCTCTTGACTGAGTTGCGTCTGTCAGCTTCGTATTCATATAGGCGCTAAGCCTCACAAGATCGATCATGCAGTAGACAAATGTTGCAACCATGTCTACATATCAGCAAAAAAAAACATGTGTTGTGTACTGCTGCACTGGTAGTTGGGAAGCTAATTAGGAGTGTGTGTCAGCACTTTCACTTCAACATTCAAATATTTTCTATGAATGTTGTGAATTTTTATCTCTCAGAAATTGACTTAATATATCTAGGAAAACTGATATTTTCGAAAAAAAATCACAATCACTTTTTTCACTTCACTTAATTGCCCTTTAAAGCACTGTATGTCCCAATAATGATATTTACTTCGAACACCTTAACTATATATAGCATTCTAGATTTTACACCTCAAATATACAATCATTTTCCCAACAGAGAACATAACTAATGTCACAGAATCCAATCCTTCAATATTGTCACACTAAATTGAATTAAGCAATACCAGAGAGAAATCCAAGCTAGCTGAAGGACCCAAGGTATTTCATTCAGCTGACCAAACAATCACATCGGCCTTCCAGTCACTTGTAAATTGGCACCAACCAAAGAGGTGCTAAAATTACATATTCCATGCATTGAACATTTCCCAAATACACCGCGCCACCAATGACAGGTTCACAATAAACTTCTAGCCATTAGTCCCAAGGGAGGTCTTATTGTGAGTGATACCTTGTCAAGGGAGCAATCATTGTGCCAAAACTAACAGAGATTCTAAATTCATGTGAAGAGAGGCCAAATGTAGATCTGAGTTTCACATTGACTCCATCAAGCTACTTGCCAGTTTTAATGAATATGTTTCAATTACATTTAGGATCATCGTTTAGCGACTGACGCAAATTTCTTGAACATAATGGCCGGGTGTTGAAAGATGTATAATGTTAATAAAAAATATGAACTTTATATGTGCTGTGCATATGTCCTGATTCCTCAACACAAGTGTATTTTCATGTTAAATGCATGGCTATTGGTTTGTTATATTGTTCAGATGACCAGATTACTGTTAATGTTATTGTTGAGGTATAAATCCACTGCTCGAGTACATAATCAATCTAAACTTGTGGATATTTAATTATTTAATTGTGATTTGCTTTATTAGACTTTAAGATGTCCTAAGGTACATGATCTGATGCCATTTGCTGGCTTTATTTTGTAATTAATCCAAACTGATGACAAATAAATTCAACTGTTGCCTAAATTTTCTATAGTTTTGCTTACAGTTTGTTTTTTGAAAATCCAGGTTGGGAGGTGAAAAAAACAACAACCCAAAACATGTCAGATTATTACCTACACATGTTGGAAATCATTCAGTGTTAAGCATGTCTGATTGTTTAACTTATTGTTATGTATTTATCTATTGCATGCAATAAATATCTGTGGTGAACATGCAAGTTTGCATTCAGCAAAGTAGAAGAAATTCCTCATTTTTCATTTTTTTTAAACTTGCCTAGCTCAAGTGTTGTAAAACAACAGCTGCTGACAATGCCATTAAACACCCATGTTACTACAAGAACAATATGTAAATGATGACTAATCATCCCACTGATGTCTGCAGCAGCGACGGTGCACTAACACTCCTGGAATGAGATGACTCAGAGATGATTTTCCCTAAGACTTGCTGTCACAGGAACTTACCTTTGACCGATCTTTTATCTTCCCAAGGTTCTGCAAGTTCAGGGCCTTCTGGGATGGTTTGTCGTCCACGACCTTGACCCTGGCTAGGAGCTCTGCAGCCCTCTGTTTCTCCCCATCTCCCCCAAGTGTAGACAGGATGGTGTTGAAGTCGTCCACTGCAGATCGACATGCATACAGCTCTTTGCCTGCAAGGACATGATGTTTGTTTGTTGTTTAACACTGACTCAGAAATATTCCAGCTATATTAAGGCAATCTGTGATCGAGTTGGGACCAGACAATCCAGTGAGTGACATCATGAGCATCGATTTACGCAGTTGGAATCAATGTCATGCATCAACCAAGTCAGCGAGTGCCTGACCCCCCGATCCCGTTAGTCGCCTCTTATGACAAGCATGAGTTGCTGTAGACTAATTTTAACCCAGATCTTCCAGAGTCAACAGGACATTTATGCAATCAAATAACTGTATTCTACGAGAAACCAATATCTCACCAACCTAATGATCTTTACTTCCAAAGTTGAGGTTCTCTTCAGAGTGAGTGAGTGAGTGAGTGAGTGAGTGAGTGAGTGAGTGAGTGAGTGAGTGAGTGAGAGTGAGTTGGCTACTTGGGTTTGAGTCTGCTTGAACTGTATTGCAGTTATATCAAAGTTTCAGCTTGATATACAAGGAAAGGGGATCCTGGCACATCTAAGGGCCTCTACTCTGCATAAATGTATGAAGAAATATTGTTGACATTCAAATATAAAACCCATCAGCAGGTGTATGTTGCTGAAAAACCAAGAATCATAATCAGTTCGATTTAAACACACAGTCGATCAGATCCAGGCTCGTGTAAGGGAGACAACTCAACATAGCAAATTGTGACATCTTAGATGACACATGTGACCCTATTCCCAAATAAATAAATGATTTAATTAATCAGTGATGAATATATGCTATCAAGCAAACCTTCACCAGCACATACATCAACAAGAGTCATCAGAAGATGACAAATCCCCCCGGCCCCTACAAGTTCGAAAGTGCAAATCACTTGAAGTCCAACTCGATGAGAGAATTTCTAATCTGTCTGTCCATATACAAGAGTAGTTTTTGAGCTATAAAGTCAATACTATGGAATTGGGATTCAGAACTTTGTATTTCTGTGTCAGTCAAAATCAAACTTGTTGCCATGGAAACAGATATATATATATACATTCTAACAAGTTTCAATCAAATACACTGAATGGTTTTCAAAATTCTGGCCCGGAAACGAACCCGTTCCCCAAATTGAGTCTAGGTCCAACTTCTTTCCATAAAAATTGTAAAAAATAACAATTCGTAAAAAAATAAATATCAAAAGGCACCACTTCAGTATGTACCGGATATCTTATCAAGTTTCGATCAAATACACTGAATGGTTTTCGAATTCTGCCCCGGAAACGAACCCCATCCCCAATTGAGTCTATGTCCAACTTCATTCAATACAAATTTAAAAAAATAAAAATTAGAAAAATCCCCAAATATCAAAAGGCACCACTTCAGTATGTGCCTGATAGATTTGCCAAGTTTCGATCAAATACACTGAATGGTTTTGGAATTCTGCCCTGGAAAAGGAAATGATTACGGACGGACGGACAGACAGACAGACTGCCTGATCGCTATATCCCCCCGCATTATATGCCGGGGGGATAAAAACAAATCCCTAAATACAAATTCCTGATCATTAACTCCATTACCTTCATAGCTTCTATATTTCAATAAACAGATAAACAACAAACTAAAATGCATTATATTAACGATGACAATATCTCATGAATGAGCAAAAAAGATAAGACAAATGTCACATCCTGATGTTCGGCAATAACTCGGTTGTTCATACAGCTGTGGCAAGATACATCGACAATTACAATTCCTCCACACATTGATGCCATGTCCAGGGACGCGCCTGGTCAGCGAAAGTGGGTAAAATCCCATTGTTGTTGCGACTAATTGGGGATCGTTTATGAGATAATACTCCCCAGCCATATGAATAATGAAAAGACTCGCTTTACAAGTTATCTATCCATTTCTAGTTGACCGAGCATCAATAGGGTTATTATACTGATGTGTATTGAACGAGATAATGGTTTCTCTGTGTGCCATAGCTGATGGTGAAGTTGTTAATTCATCAACAATGCTTACGCTGCATCAACCCAGATGATGTCCCTGGGTTGCCAAGTCCAACCCATATAGGATGAACCCATTTTGTTAACCTGAAAATGGCAAATTTTACAGCTGTGGAATTATACTGTACATGTCCTTTTAGACTGACAAGTCAAGAGATCTACCAGTACCTGAGTTATTTATTGTGGGGTTCAATTTAATTGTTCGGGTCCCAGGGTTAAAAAATGGGGGTCCCCAGTTACACACTGGGGTCCAAGAAAAATGTCAAAACTTGATAGCTGTACTCTAACACAAGTGTGTATTATTGTGTACGGTTAGAAGCTAGTGTTATATGTGGTAAGTTGCATGCGATGCATGGAGTTGGTATTGGCGTAAGGAGCTAGAGTAGTCACATGACTTAACATGGCGACGTCCATGGATTCATCGCGAGATATCAATCATTCTCGAGTAAGTATTCGACTTGGTAAGTCGGTACTTGGTAAGTTGACGACGTATGAGTGTGATAGCGGTTGAGGCGACAGCTGTACTATGGCGATGGTGTAGTAAAGACCGTTTTGACTGATACGAGTTGAGTTGAGTTGGAGTCAATCGGAGTTGTCAACAAGTGAGCATAATGCCAGGCAGAGATACAACACTAGTTAAAAAATAGTAATTGAAATCCAAAACTGATATGAATCCATGTATTGTATTTTTTAAATGACTCCCTGCAGAAATTATTTCAAGTGGTACTATATTATGTAATGCATGTAGCAGTATTAATTACTTTACAGGCATACACCTTCTTCGCATGCCAGGGGATGAACTCTGGATATTTTTGGCATCTGTTTTCAATTTTTATGAGTAAACGATGAAGGGTTTTTCATCAGATAAATCCCTGCAACTTCTTTTCTTTCCATCCCTTGTACATCATGGACCAATGAATGACTAAAGGAGGATTGTTAAATTGAACTCCAAAGAGAGATTTTAGCAACTTCTTGAGAAAATCTAACCATGTCTGTACTGTACTTCTGATATGTACATCAGTTTGTATCAAAAGTGCTGATTGTTATTCGGGAAAAGCCGACATATTTTACATTCGGTCACAATTCTACATTTTCAAACAAAACCTCAAAGTCATGTTTTTAATTAAGACCAATCTCATTAAAATCAGATCTAACTTCTCACTGCCTGAGGCCATCGCATTGCGGATCACATCAGAACGACCTTTCGCAAACTTTGACCGACCACTGAAATGATTAACAAGAAGTTGACATCCACCAATGAGAATGCAGCTTTCTTGAGCTTTACAACACTTGTTTCAAACTGGTGGCTTCCATTTCAGACTACGCTTGAAAAATATATTGACCCTGTTCTCGATTAAATTTTTGAAAACTTAACAAACAAACATTCCAGAATGTCTAATATATGGTTGAGATTGTACTGTGCAATGCCTCTTCTGTTCAAATGTTTATACCACGGAAGCAAGAGATAGGCAATGATTTGACGGAATCAGTTTACGGGCCTTAACTGTCGTTCGGAATACCCCGTGTTAATGTTTTCAATGGTTGCATGATTAGAAAACACATTCCTACTGTCACTTTCATGATCTGGTAAGCGACGCTTTGATTGGTTGGATGAAAGGCCGTTCTGACGTGACCCACTTCTTGGATGTCCTCAGATCTTTGTTTAGCGACAGCGAGAACTCAGATCTGATGTTAATGAGATTAAATTAAGACCAAATTAATTACTTGTTTTATTATAGCCACCTGTCTTTTTTTAGCCATTTAAAAGAATACATACATAGTAGACACAGTATACTGACTCTGAGCTGACCAGTCCTTATTTAAGCCCCTTAATGCCAAGTATCATCTTTTAACATCTTTTGGTATGACGCATCCGGGGATTAAATCCCTGACTATCCACTGTCCTGGCGGATGCTCTACCACCACACCAAGGAGGTGGTTTCCATGGCAAGCCTGATACCTCCCTGACTGGCTTCGAATCCCGGATCACCCTGATTATGTTACAAGGTTTGTCACACCATACCCATGCTCGTGGGTTTTACCAAAGTGGCAAACGTCTCAGACCAACATAACTTTGAGCTTCCCTCCCCCATCAAGCTGACATGCCATGATATAACTGGAATACTGTTCAAACTGGCGTTAAACCTAACTCACTCGCTCACTCAGTTAAAAAGGTGTGTTTATGTTGACTTTTTTTTCTCTCACGCCTGCAGGTATTTTCAGCGACAGAATCCATAACCATGTGATGACATTGGTGAGGATGAGGACAGACTTCCGCAGGAGGACATCACTGATTGTTAGCTGGCTGGGAAAGACAACATGGACCATCCGAAAGAAAGGCAGCTAGTATTCCCAATTAAGGACTGCAGTGATATCTCATTCTAATTGTGGACTGTGCACTCCTACAGATGTTGATATACTTCTGTTACCAATTAGCACTGATTATAATCCTGAAACCAGTGAAAACATTGAATGTGTGTATGCCCTTGACTTCAGAAGATCTATCACAGTGATCACTTAAGTATATGTGTTCAATAACTTTGTAAAACATTCTTGAAAATATTTAATTTCTATAAATATAATATATCAACGCCAGAGACTAACTAGTCTCGATTATTGGACAAAACAGATTCCATCAGGCCTAAAAAGCAAAACAGGTGAAAATTGTATGGATCACTGACAATTAGTGATGACACCAGGTGTTCATGAAAGAAATATGAATTATTCAGAACAAGTCCTACAGTCATGTCCAATATGTGCTTTTGTCCCTGCAACAGTAATTTACAAACGAATGTTCCACCGAATTTATGCAAGTACTGATTCCTAGTCTTAAGTGTGTCATAAAATTAACGCACACAGCCCTATCTTTGAAATACTTCTTGAAATACAATACTGTAAATCTTGAAATTAATGTGAGTGTAAATTAAATGCGAAAAATGCGAGTGGTCTTTAGTTTGCATTAATGAAACTTCGCATTTATGTCTCCAAAATGACTATCAAAATGACGGCCTCAGTGCACACTTTGGATAGCGGAAATACCA